TTCACCAGGCAATGACTTTCTTTTCTCCCTACAGATAAGAGTTATGCAATTTGGGAGTCTTTTAGATAGACCCACTGAAGGGGTACCCCTGTTGTCTTACCCTGCATCCCTGTTCAGCGTGGAAGAAGCCAGAGCAGTCCGCGTCCCAATTACCTATCAGCAACTTGGATAACCTCTTCAGAGGATGGTGTGATAAGAATAGGAGGTAGGAATTGGCCAGGAAATTATGGTCAAAAGATCCTAAAGAAAATGAGCCAGTTTCTTGGCTAAAAGACAAAATGTCCTTGGGCCTCTAGCAACCTACTCCGTTCCAAAGGCTAAAAATGTCAAAAGTATTTAGGAGCTTGTACCTAATCCCTAAAAGATTTTAGGGTTACCTCTTTAGAGGGGTGATGTTAAAGTAGCAAAAATCCCCATTTAAAAAGAAGAAAGAAAGAAAGAAAGAAAGAAAGAAAGAAAGAAAGAAAGAAAGAAAGAAAGAAAGAAAGAAAGGGAGAGAGAAAGAAAGAAAGAAAGAAAGAAAGAAAGAAAGAAAGAAAGAAAGAAAGAAAGAAAAAGAAAGTGATGGGAAATATGGGAGGAATTGGAGGGGAGACAGTGGGTGTGGATTTGACCAAAACACCTTATATGCATGTATGAAATTTTCAATAAAGTTTTTTTTTTAAGTTAAAAAAAAATTGAAGTTCCAAACCAAGATTGAGAGTCTTGAGAGAAGGGACATTAGATGGCAGACCATGTTGCCTCCTAAAAGCTGCCCAGTCCACACAGACACAGGGGAGTGCACCCCTTCAGAGCACACACCTAAAAGCCATGCTCAATCACAGATGACTGTCCCTGCACACCTCACCTCAGTGGCTTGATAGAAAAGATCTACCACACCAGGTCTCACACTATAGCAAGAAGGGAAACCCAGAGTGGCTACCATGGGAGAGGGGTTGGGGACAAATGCATAAGCTGTGTTGAAAATAGCTGTCTCCAAACAATCCCTCCTCTTCTTTTCCCAGAGCATCAGGGAGGTGATAGGCTGCCCAAGGGATTCAGGCTCACAGTTGCACTGCTCAGGAACCCAGGCCAAAGGCAGAGAGGTCAAAAGATCTTGGCAGACATCTAGTCCTTACATGCAACTCATTCATAATTTGAGTTTTGAGGGGCCATAGAGATGGCCCAGTGGTTAAGAGCACTGACTGCTCTTGCAGAGGACCCAGGTTCGATTCCCAGCACCCACATGGCAGCTACAAACCGTCCTTAACTCCAGTTCCAAGCAAATCCAAAGCCCTCTTCTGACCTCTGTGGCATTGCACAACACAGGTGCACTCACATACATGCAGGCAATTCACTCATACACATAAAATAAAAATAATAATTTTTTTAATTTCAGTTTTGATTCCTTTGGCTCATGATTCCTTGATATAATGACTCAGACTTAATGAAAGTTAAAGGCACAGGGTTTTATTAATCAATAAAACCCAACTTCTTCATTAAAAAAAAAGGAATATTGAAAAGAGCAGGCAACGGATTACTGCTGGGTGAGGAAGAGCTGATCTTCCTAAAGTGAGGGACTCTAGATAGGCTGACTAGACCTCAGTGGATGAATTGCACTGATGAACGTCTGGGGACACTACCTTGACACATTCCGTATTTCCTCCACCATCAGCAAGCACCTCTACAGGTCTTGGCTCTTTCCCTGGAGGAGTGACCCATACTTTCATCCCTGAAGGGTCTGGGCCATTTGTTGTCCTGTCTGGATTGGGTTGTTGCAGTTTCCCATTGACCTTAATCACAAGTCATGGTAACACCAAAAGTCACCCTAAGGAATCTCCTGCCTTCCAGATATAATTTTCATTACCTCCATTGTGGAGAACCAGTCCAATTTCCCCTGGTAGTCTGGGTCAATCACTCCTCCTAATACTGTTATTCCTTTCTTAGCCTGCTGACTTAAAGGCATCAGAAGCCCAAAGTGTCTAGGGGGAAGTCTTAGCTTCCAGTTCAAGGGAATGTTTGTTTTGT